CCTAAGGAGCTTTCCCTGAGCACCTGCTGTGTAGACTCTGGTGGGTCACTGGTCTGCTGAGCTGTGTGTCTGCTCCACTCGAGGCGGATGCCTGGATGGGAGGGGCTGGGCAGTTCGCATCCTTGGTGTCAAGTGTAGAGGAAGGTGTAATTTATTTAACTTCTTAAGTCTCTTCGGAGGAGACCTTCAGGATGCTGATATTTGCCGAGTGGTGAACAGGGCACGGGGGACCAGGCTGGTATTTGAGGATGCCATGGAATGGAGAGGAGAGAAGGGGCGAAGTCTCTGGGTCAGATTAGTGAGGATGGAGTTGGCTCTTGGGAGGACCATGTCGGGGTGCTGGGAGGAGCCCTGGCAGGGGCTCTCAGGGAGGCCCATAGGCCTCATGCTCTCTTTCTCTCACCTCCTCGCCTTTGGAAGAGAATCCCCTCAGGTTGGCAGAAGCCCTGGGGAGTTTGCCACTGGCTGCTGCCCCAGATCTGGGGCTCTCCTCTCACCACTTGCGACTGAAGAGGTTTGGGCCTGTGGTCCCTTGGGGGTTCCGCTTGGTCCCAGCTGCTATGTAGGCATGGAGGAGTTTCGCCTCAGCCTCCTGGGTGGGCAGCCTGTAAGATGTTCCCGGTGATCCCACAAACCAGCCCCATTCCCCCACCTCCTCCACCCCTCTTAGCCATCCACACCCTCCTGTAATCTTCTCCCCATAAGTGTGGGCAGGAACCATGACTTCTTCCAATCAACAGAGTGGCCAAGGTGATGTGATGTAACTTTCGGAATCAGGCCACCCAAGATCGTGGCTTCTAGCTTGCTGTTTCCGCTGCGGATCCCTTTGTGGCGTTCTTGGCTCCCTCACCCCCAAGCCAGCTGCCGCTGAGAGCTGCCCGGTGGAGAGGCGCTGTGGCCTTTAACTAACAGCCCTCAAAGAACAGAGACTCCCAGTCCAACAGGAAGTGAATTGGCCAACAACCATGTGAGCTTGGAAGAAGATTCTTTCTCAGTCGAGCCTTCAGATGAGAGCGTCCCCCCTCCCCCACCCCCACATGGGCACTTTAATTTGAGCCCTGTGAGAAACCCTGAACAGAGGACCCAGCTAAGTCACGGGTGGACTCGTGGATGGTGAGATATCAGTGTGTGTGGTTCTGAAGCAGCGGCGTTGGTGGCCATTTGTAATTAGCAACAAATAAGGGGTTAGCAGCTCTCTGTACAGAGTTCCCTCGGATCCAAGGTGAGCTCGGGCATTCTGCTGCTCATAGTGCTGGAGCCCCGGGTCCTGGGCAGGTGGGGAGAACTGCAGGAGGGATGGTGTCAAGGTACAGAAGAGGGAGGCTTCACCGACCACCCGCCCCCCCTGCTATCCTGTAAGTGCAGGTGCTAAAGGGAACATGACTGCCATCACCCCACTGGCTGACAGGAAAGGACGGGCCCTCAGCCTGCACTGGGCTCCTGGGCAACCCCTTCAGTCTGAGTTTCTGAGAGGCCCCTGGGCACAGCAGCTTGTTTAGGGTGACTCCACGGACCCCACCTGAGCCTCGGTCCTGATGCTCTGTGTCTCGGAAGCAGCGTGGCCCCAGACCCTACATGGTCCCGGGAGAGCAGGCCGGGTCAGCAAGGACATCTCAGAGCAGGGGATGCTGGGGTTGAGTCTCAAAAACAGAGGAGTCCGAGGTACCGGGCTGACTACACAGCATAAATTGGCATGTTGTGGGTGAGGGGGTGAAGGGTGGGGAGGGGGTGCCTGGTGGGCTTGGGGCACACAGCAGGTGTGGGTCTGATCTAGCTAACAGGTTATCCATGTGGATGCCCTCTTGTTTGCCTTGGGCAGACAGTGAAGCGTGTTGGGTGAGGGAGCGGCTTGGTTCAGTTTGCCTTTTAGGGGAGTCTTCTGGGGGAGCCCTCATGGGGTGGCAGTTAGGTGCTGGGCTGTGAACCACAGGGCTGGCAGTGAGAAATCACGCAGCTTTCCACTCCTTTGATGAGCCACAGTCTCGCAAACCCATTCCGCCCCATGGGTCGCTGGGAGTCGGCATGGAACAGATGGCAGTGATGAGTGATGGTGAGGGCAGTGGGGACAAGATCGGGGGAGGGGAGGGGTGGAGCCTGGGAGACAGTGTGTGGGTGGTGAGGGGGGTCAGCCAAGAGGGGAAGAAGGGAGGGAGGGAGGAGGGGTGGCTGAATGTAAGGCGAGGCAATGTGGGGTGTCAGGAGAGGGTGCTGACTCAGTTCTGACTCCTCATCAGAGCCTGGGAAGCATCTGTATTCAGGCGGAAACCCCGTGGTGTCCTGGTGGTCCCGGCCCCTGCATGGCCTGGCCCAGGGAGGGTACCCCATCAATATGGAACCGAAGATTGACGTACTCTTGTGACTCAGCCGTAGCTCAGGGTGCCTCACTGGAAGAGCTGCGTTACTGGTGGTCAGAGGTGGGATCCGGTGGGTGGGCAGGAGGGAGGAGTGCCCTGGATACTGGCCTTGGTTGATTTGGGGGGTAGTTTCCACAGTATCGAGGCCAGGAGCCAGGGTAAAGCTGAGGGGTGTTTGTAGGGGGAGGGGAGGGTGGACAGGGCACCGGGGCTCCCTTCATTGGTGACTACGCGTCCCGGCTTTAGCTGTGGTCATGGCGGGTGGACAGACAGAAGAGGACGGACAGACAGAAGAGCCGCAGCGCAAGGTCTTTTCTTTGTTGTGGTGGTTGGTTTGGTACACCTGTACCGAGCATTTGCGTCATACAAAGGGGGGGAGCGACAGCCATGGCTTTTGGTCAGGTTCAGGGGGGCATGAGGGGGTGCCCCTCCCCTCCCCCCAGGCACTGACACATTGAAAAGAAGCAGAGCAACAAGGACACAGCAAACTAGGGAAAGGGGGGCCCCTGTGGGAGGGAGCAGGATGGTCGTCCTCAGGGGGCCGCATGGGGACCCTGCCCAGGGCCAGCAGCACACTTCCCGAGGCGTGTCCTCAGGCCTGGGAAACGTTCCCTCCATGGAGGGGGACCCTCCTCCAGCCTCCCAGTGGGGACCCAGAAAGACGGGCAGGTGGGAACCCTGCCAGTTGGTCCTCGGAGGTCCTCGGGGCTAGGAAGTGTACCACCCCCTTGGGTGGTTGCTTCACCTACCAGCTACCCTGACTTCGAGGGTCCTAGGTGGAAACCCTCCCGCCTTTCTCCTTTCACAGGTCCCTCCCTCACGCCTGGGAGAGGCGACTCCCCGCCTCCTCTGGGAGGAACTCCCCACACGGCTCTGCCGTGAAGGACGCCTTCTGGAAGCTTCCTGGGAACCTGGACGTGGCACCCAGTCAGGGCAGACCCTTTTCCTTCTCTGGGGGCTGGGGAGCTGGGTCCTAGGCACACAGCATAGCGAGGTCCTCTGCCCCCACCCTCGCGCACGAAAGTGGGGGTGAACCTCCTTCTTTGAAGCTCACCCTGTTTCCGCCCACACGCTCCTTCTGCCCCCTCGCTGGGCTGCTCTCGTGCTTGCCGGTGCAGACTAGTCCATCGCTGGGCCTCTCCCTCTGTCGCCTGGCTGTGTCCCTTGCACGTGGCCCCATTTGTCTAGGACGCAGTTCTTCCCATGCGATGGGCAACACACCATGTGCCCAGATCACACCCTGGTCACATCCTTTCCCCGCCACATGTTGTGCCTTTATGCCTGTGTGCTGCTCAGCCACCCTCCTGCCTGGGCCCCAGGCCAGGCCAGCTTCCCTCCCCAGGCAGGCCTGGGTGCAGAAAGGCAGCTACCATATCTCACCTGGCTTGAGCCTGACCACTGGGCAGTGGCTGGAGCCAGGTGCTCGGGCAGGTATTCGCCCCTGGCTTCTTCCTCCAGGAAGACCTCAAGGCCTGTGGTTCAGGAGCAGGTGGGGGGCATCTGGAGAGAGGAGTCCTGTCTGTGCTCCTAGATTAAACCAGCCTGGAGGCAGTTGTGGTGGGGAGGGGGCTTGGGTGTTGAAAAGCCCCAACCTACTCTGGGGGTGAGAGACCCCCTTTGGCAGCTGCAGAGACCACCGGGGTGTGTGTGCTGAGCACTGGGGTCCCTCAGGCTCGTCCCCAGTGCCCTGCAGGGCTGGGTTCCTGCTCACCTGGGACTCCTTGATGCACTCTGTGCCCTGGAGCCTCGGCAGAGGGTCTACCCTGTTTCCAGGCAGGGCTCTTGCACAGAGTGTGGGGAGACTTGGGGCCTCTGAACTGGGCCCTGCTGGTTTCTGTCCCAGGACTGATCCCAGGGCTATTCAGAACGACCATCCTGCCCAGGATAACAGACACGGACAGACAAGCTGACAGCAGGGGTGCAAAGTGGCTCCCCATCACAGACACGGGCACAGACAGCGGGCCCTGTGGGCCCAGACACAGGGGCACAAGGGGAAGAGGCGGGGGAGGCGGGCAAGTCTGGGGAGTTCAAGCCTCAGAGGCCTTGCTCCCCAGAGAAGGGACACACCAGTGACTTTTCTGGTTCCCTAAACATATGGATTGTTTTGTCTCGTCTTGAAAGTATTGCAATCTAACTGATATGGCTTTAACTATTGGAAACGGACAGAGAAGACACACGTCTCTCTGAAAGAAAAGCATAAATCCACTAAAATGGAAAACCTGCAGGATGCAAACTGGGGTCAAAGGAGCAGGGGCGTTGGGGCAAGTCGCCCCTTCTCTGGCCCCTGCTCGTGGGATAGGCCCTGGCAGGGCCCAGCATGGCTTCTTGGGGCACGGCCTGGACCCGTTACAGAGACTTCTGAGGACCTCAGGCAGGAACCCCCAAGGGTAGGAGGACAGGAGGCCAAGGACAAGGGCTGCTCTGGGATGTGGCTGCCCAGGAGGAATGGTCCCCAGGCAGGCAAGGAGACTTCTCACTCATGTCCCGTTCTCCAACATTTGCCACTGCACACAAGGACCTTTTCAGAGCCACACCCATGCACGCAATGCTTGAGCACATCTGACAGTTCCCTCCAGCGCGCGCGTGTACACACACACACACACACACACACACACACACACACACACACTGTAGATCTCGAATCTCTGACACACACAGGAGATGGCTAGCACCCACGCACCACATTCCCAACCCGCATGCTCACACACACACTCTCCAACACACGGCTTGGCTCATGCACACACACATGCACTCGGATATCTGCAAGCGCACACATAATCTTTGGCTGCACACAATTGCCGGTGTAGTCTCAGGCATGCATGGGCACAGACTCCCCCTACACTTTCAATCCTTGGCTCCCCCAGTTCTCACAAATGGGACTGGACTGGAGATCCTGACAATTTAGGGGTGGGGACATGTCAGTGAGATCTCAGACATCCCAGAGGGGAGTTTGTTCTTGGCCAGTGACGTGGATGGACAGATGATGTCTGTCAGTGGGAACTGGCTTCTACTTAAGGGCTTGGGGCTTTGGCTAGGAAGGGTCCTCCTGGGGCCCCTGGCCCTGGAAGCACATGGTTGGGACAAGTGGGAGAGGGGGTGGACAGGAATGGGGGCAGCCTGGCCACACGAATGGGGAGTCCCCATGGCATGGGCGGATGCTGCCCAATGGCTCCAAGTGTTTTCTGAGGGTCCTGGCAGCTCCTTGGCTGGGCAAGCGGGGCCCAGCCTGGCAGTGGAGCCCCAGGACCTAGGAGGGGTTGGGGAAACAAAGGGATGTCCTATTTTGGGGTCCCTCCACAGATATACTACAATCCAAAGAGGATCCATTTGGAGGGACTGGCTTGGCAGGGGCTATGCCTCTCTGGGTGGGGCTGCGAGGGTCTTTCTGGGCTGGGTGCCACTGGGGGAGGGGAGAACAGCCCCAGTTTCCTGTCCAGACCCGGGCCTGGCTGGAATTCAGTGGGTCCTCCCAGGCTGGTGCCTATGGGGTAGGTTTACCCCAATTCCCTTCCTCAGCGCTCCTGCCCTGACCTGGAGGCAGGCCTATGGGGGTCAGAGGCCGAAGGTCAGCATGCTGGGCAGGGCTGGAATGTGTCATTACTTTGGCTGGCTGGGGACAATGGTCCACCTGGCAGTGGGGAGCATGAAGGAATGTGTGTGTGTGTGTGTGGGGGTGGGAGTTACCACACCAACAAAGACCCTGGGTCTCCTGTGGTGGGGGGCGGGGTGAGGGAGGGGCAGTGCCTTCAGGCCTGGGTTCCAGCAGAGTAACTGGGGAAAAGCTGTCTTCCCTTTCTCCAGCCTCCTGGGAGTTGGGTGGGGCCCGGTATCCTGGGGTGAAAAGGGTCCAGGGAGTGCTGAGGGGGAGGAGCCCCTGGCCAGGGAAGGGGGGCAGAGGCCAACTGAGGTTTTCCCCTTCAGAACTGAGACTGAACTGAATAAAAAAGAAAAGAACAAATCAAAGAAACAGGAAAAAGTAACCAGTGGCGCGGGGTGGGGACAGGAGGGCCCGTTACTTCTTGAACATGTCCTGCAGTGGCCCGGGCAGGTATTTGAGCACCGTGTCCAGGATGCTCTCCTCCTCCTCCTCCTCCTCGTCCCCACAGCCTGCAGGGATGGCCTTCTTGGGTCGGGTCAGGCTCCCCTCACAGGGCTGCTCCATGGCAGCTTTTTCCTCGGCCTCTTTCTCTTCCTTCTTCTTCAGTCCATACTGGAGAGGGGCAGGGGGGAGACAGACGTGAATAGGGTTATCAGAGAACCAGGCCAGGCAGACCCCTGAAAGCCTCCCTGCACCTCAGTTTCCTCGTCTATACAATGGGGCGAAGGACCCTTTCCTTCTGGAATGGTGTCTCGTGCTCAGGAGGTCCGACCGAGCTTGGGGCTTCCTCTGACCGGCTATCTCAAAATCCCAAGAGATCTAAACACGGAAAGTTCGCCCAAGGTTTAGGAGCAAAACCTTCTCCAAACTGATGGGGGGCTGTCTTCTTGCAGTATTTGTGACGGGATGCATCGCACTGTTTGGCCTCAGGGGGCACCCTCAGGACTGAAAGGCCACAGGAAACACACATTTTTTTCTAAGGGGCCTGCATTCTGAATTCCATGCCTATGCTCCTCACCGGCTTCAGGAGGAGCTTGTGAGCCCCCGCCAGGACACCCGATCTCCCATTTACCTAGTGCATGCTCTTATTTGAGTGATCCTCGGTTGGTGCTGGGCTGCTAATCTAAAGGCGGTGGTTCGAATCCCCGCAGCGGAACCACAGAGGACAAGGCCTGGCGATGCGTTTCCATTAAGCTGACAGCCAAGAGCATGCTATGGAGCAGCTCTACCCTGACACACGAGCCTGGAAGGGAGAATTGACCGGACGGCCACTAACAAGGACTACAAGCCTCCCTGGATGGTGTGCTGGTGAGTGAGATCCATTTTTCTGGTAGGACCAGTGAGACTTGGAGGGGCTAAGGCTTGAGGTGAGAGCAGGGATTTAGGGGAGCCTGAGCCGAGAAGCCCTGGTGGTTTAGTGGTTCCGTGTTGGGTTGTGATCCACCAGGTCAACCGTTTGAAACCAGCAGCTGCTACAAAAGACTAGCCTTTCTATGCCTGTAAAGCTACAGTCCCTGAAAACTCACAGGGGCACTTCTACCCTGTCCTCTATGGTCACTATGAGTCTGCATCCACTCGATGGCAGTGAGTTTTCAGGGCTTTTTTGGAGCTGGGGGCTGGGAGGGCTGGTTTGACCCCTCAAATCCACGCCTGCCTTCGGCCGCTGACCTTGTCTCGGATCTGCTGCCGGACCTTCTCGCGCTCGGCTTCCATTCGCGCATGCTTGGCCTTGCGCTCCTCCTCCTGTTGCCTGAGGGCCTCCTGCCGTTCCTCCTCCTTCTTCTGCGCATCCGGGTCCTTCTCTTCCTCTCCCCCCAACATCTTCCCCATGTCCTTGGTGGCCCCTACAGCCGGGAGAGGCAAGGAAGGAAACGGGGCGGGATTAGCTCAGCAGCAGAGGCCTAGGATGGGGCAGAGGGCTTAGATACCCTGAGATCCCTCCCCTGGGACCAGGGTCAGAGGTGCGGGCCTTACCTCCGAGGGCCTGCTTCATGACGAAGTCCATACTGCTGGTTCGGGTTCACGTGTTCTAGTCCACGGCCGGATTCACTGGCAGCACTCGCTGCAGGTCTGGTTCCGCGGGAGATGTCCCAACCTGCACAGGAGGAGTTGGGGATGATGGGAGAGGCCACTGCGCGCGTGCGCAGGGAGGGGGAGCTAGGCTGACCAGCGACCACACTTGGGTTTAGGACCCAGGGGAAAAAAGGGTCAGCACTTGACTATGATGGCGAGGATGCTCGGAGCAGTTCTGTTGTGCATAGGGTTGTTATGGGTAAGAGCCGAGTGCACAGCCCCTAACAACAACAATAACGAGCTGGAAGGTTGGCAGTTGGAACCCACACAGCTACACCATGGAAGAATGGCCAGGCGACCTGTTTCTGCAAAGATTCCAATCCAAACTCACCACCATTGAGGCCATTCTGACACAGAGTGACCCCATTCGAAAGAGGAGAGCTGCCCCTGTTGGTTTCCTTTATGGGAGCAGAAAGCCTCCCCGGGAGCTGCTGGTGGATTTGAACTGCTGACCTTGTGGTTGGCAGGCCAACTCCTAACCCACTATGCCACCAGGTTACAACTAAGAAAGCCCTGGAAGTGGGGGGGGCGCAGTTCTAGTTTGCAACACATGGGGTCTCTATGAATCAGAATCATCCTGACTGGCAACGAGTTTCTTTTTGCTGTGTACTAGGCACACCTTTGTACGGCCAAATGGCTTCTCAGGCCTAGTTTAAAATCTCTGTCTTAACCATAGGATGCTAAGTGGAGCCAGGAGTATTTGAAGAGCCTGGAAGACCTGGGTTCTGATGCCCATGCACTCCTTTTGTTGCAAAATGGCCTCTGGTTAAGTTATGTCCTCTCGCTGAACCCCAGCTTCCTCCTCTACAAGAAAACAGACAGGGAAGTGCCTGGATTTACGGGGCCACTGGGAAGATTGGGGAGGATTCCAGCCTGGGCCTGGGATGGCCATTGGACCCATCCAAAGGTCACAGGGCCCGTGCTCAGGGCCCCAGTAAGTCAGTGATGGGTGACAAATACCTCACTTCAGTGAACACATTCAGACATTGGAAATTAAACCAGTGCTATGATCACAGCATATAGGAACATTGAGTGTTTTATGGCTCAGTGTTAATTTTAAATTTCAATGTCACATGGGGAGGTGTTGGAGGTATTCTTATTGTGTGTGTGTGGAGGGGGGGGGGCCCTTGGTGCCTTGAAAGTGTCTGGCACGGGGCCTGGTGGAAGCTCAGCTAACGTTAGCCCTCCTTTCCCTCTTCCTAAGTCACTGGCTTTTTATTATGTTTTTTCCCTTTGGAAAAGTGCTCAGAAGAAGGTCTCCAAATAAAATCTTCATAGGAATCTATTATGCAAAAGATGTAAAAGTGGACGATCTGTAGTCTCTACCCTTGATCTCCTTCCCAGGCTCCCCTCAAACCCTAGAGAATTCAGACTCTCAGGTGCTCTAATACTTACAGATCTTTATATTTTAACTATTAGGCTTCATGGTTGTTTTATTGGGCAAAAAACTCTCAAACTCTCTGCCATCGACTCAATTCTGACTCATAGCGACCCTATAGGACAGGGCAGACCTATTCCTGTGGGTTTCTGAGACTGTAACTTTTTAGGGGAGTAGAAAGCCTCATCTTTCTCCTGCAGAGTGGCTGGTGGTTTTGAACTGTTGACCTGATTGTTAGCAGAGGAAAAGCATAACCCACTGTGTCACTGGATGTGAATGGGGACCTACATGAGTTATGCAAAGAATTCCATGAATTGATGGGCAGCTGAGGCCAGATCTGCTTCACAAGGCTTTTCCTCCCACAGAGCCTGAGGGAGGGTCTTTATGACTTGCTAAGGGGAACCATAGGTCCGAGGTTGGTGCAAACAGCATTCAACTACCACCCTAAAGATTACTGGTTCTAACCCACCCAGTGGTGTTTCTACAAAGATGACAGCCAAGACAAGTTTAGAGAACATCTCAACACTGTAACCCTCAAGGTCACTATGAGTCAGAATCAACGCATGGTTTTGATTTTAGGAAAAACAAGGGATCTTGGAAAATGCCCCAGAGGCCAGGCCGGATATTAGAACCAGGTTGAGCTTAAGGTTGATGGCTGTTCATTGATGATGAATTTTCTTCATTTCTTTCAAAATGAGAAAACATATCAGTAGACTGACATCTTTCCTTGATATGGTCCCCAAGAGCTTATCTGAGGACTTCTATGTGATCAGACTACCTAATAGGTAGTGGGGGAAAATCCTCTCAGCCTTTGGCATCAGGCTTTGGTGTCAGACATACCTAGTTTGAAACCCCTGTGCCAATGCTTATTGGCTGTGGGTACCAGTGTGCTTTGCAAGACGGAGGGTACCCTTGTGCAGATGTGTGAAGGAGAAGAAGACGTATTGATCACATGCCTGGGATGTAGTTGGCACTCATAAAATGTTAGCGATCGCTGAATTCATGCCTATAGAGACGAGCCCCCAAAGAACTCGGCTTTCCAGGAAATTCGAGGGAACCCAGCACGACCCTGAATGCTGAGCCTGATGGTTGCTAGGTTTAGCCACTCAGATGTTTTCACTTGATTGAAAACATTGTGAAAAGACTGCGTTTCTAAGAACAAGAAAGGAACAATGTAATCATCAAATGATTTCAGGAACCATTGGGTTCCCACTCTGTGCTTACATGCAGCGCAAGGAAGTTCAGGTGGTGGTGGAGGATGCAGGACTCTAATTTGAAATTCTTCAAATTGGTCAACAGGACAGCTGGGCTTTCACCCCAGCCCGGTCGGGCCCTAGCTTGCTGGGTGATTCTGGCAGGTCTCTTGCTTGGCCCAGATGATCTTTGCAACCCTTTCCAGTGCTTCCGCTTGAGGCCTCCTGCAGCGGTTTGACTGCTGACCGCCCCTGGGCCCCACGAGTCTCCCCTCTTGATTCCGTGGCTCAGTTCTCTCCTCTCCCCACACCTCCAGCTGCTTTCTTCCTTCTTTTCTCTCTCTGATGCCTTCTCTTTCTTCAATAGGCTTGTTTTCCAGAACTCCGACCCCAACCCTCTTGACCTCTCTCACAGACCTCTCTTCTGGGGTCCAGACCTTTCTATTCATCCATCCACTTGTTATTCATTCACAAGTGTTGGTTGAGCACCTACTATATATACCAGGCAATGTGGACTCACTCACTCACTCACTCACTCACTCACTCACTCACTCACTCACTCACTCACTGCCATACAGTCGCTGCCGACACCCAGCGATCTTATAGGACAGGGCAGAGCTGCCTCTGTGGATTTCCAAGATAAATTCTCGACGGAAGTAGAAAGCCCTGTCTTTCTCCCATGGAGTGGCCGGTGGTTTACAACTGCTAACTTTGCAATTAGCAGCCCAACGTCTAACCACTAGACCAGCAGGCTTCCTGGGCACTGGAATATAACAGCCAACAGGACTGACAAAATCCTGCTCTCATGCAGAGTACATTATGGGATGTGAGTGTGTAGGGGAACAGGCAATAACTAAGTCAAGACAGGTATTCCTTTTTCCCTGGATGTCCCACGGGTGCCTTTTATCTCCTTCCTGACTTCTCTGTTCCGATGCATCCATTCAGCAAACACCCATTTCACCCTGTCCTGGGCCCCCAGTACTCAAGAGTTGACTCTTGTGAAGCTCAACTCCTCATTCTTGGTGAGTTGTGCTCTTAGCCTGCTGGGATTAGGTCGCTGCACATCTGGGGGTCCACCCTGAAGTTCTGCCGGGTAATTGCAGCATGGCTGTCTCTGTTGCTGAGCAATTTCTCCATTCACCCTGGACAATCCGGGTTTTTCTGACTCACTGTCTCCTCCAACCCATGACCCTCAGCAGGTGGCGGTCTTCCCACTTCAGGAGGTGCAGTAGAAGGCCTGTGGGCTCTGGGATCAGGCACACCTGACTTTGGTCTCCAATCTCCCACTTTATAGCCGTGTAATGTTGACTTAGACTCTCTGCTTCCAGTGTCTTTATAAAGGGTGGATTACAACCCCGCGGTGAATGATTAGAGCTAGCCTGTGGGATATATTGGATGCATGATGGGTGCTCAGTAGTTGAGGGGTGCCAGCTCTTGCAACCTCCTCTCCTAATTCAGGAGGAAGAGGGCTCCCTCTTTCCGGCTGCAGACAATCTATGTGCCACCTCCCCGCACCCCTCCCTCTCGATCCATTCATCATTCTCTCTTCCTCCCATCTTCAGTCTCTTCTCCACAGAGCCCTTTAAGCCCCTCCTCTCCACTCCTTCTTCCTTGGAGCCTGCCTTTCCCTCGTCTCTGCCCTCTTTGTGATGGGGTGGGAATGGGTGTGTGTGTGTCTCCTTTTCTGCTGTTCCCAGGCAAGTCCTGTCATTCCGGTATCTCCTGGCCACCAAGCCTGCCCTCTCTGGGGCACCAGAGGCCTCCTAGAGGGTAGGCCCTGCAGTGTCTTCCCAGCCTCCCCCTCCTCCATCTCCTGGCAGCATCTGAGGTTGCGGATGACACCTCCCAACTGTGGCCAGCCTTCTTCCTGAATCTCCTCTCTGATTCCTCACCTGGAATGCTTGCCATCTTCACCCTGCTTATCAGAAAGCATTTCTCTCTACTGTTCCTTGCTTCTGAAATGTACTTGTTCCCTCAGCAATCTCTCTCCTGCTCCCACTCCCACTACTCCCCTCCTCCGCTGCCTTCCTTGGGAATCTCATCTACCCCATAAGTTTGGTGTCCTTGAGCCGCACGTGGGGATCTCTCTCTTCCTCTCTCTCTCCCTCCAAACCTGTGCATTTAAACATTTTGTAATTGGTTCTATTTCGATCTTTTTCAAACCTTTCCCCCATGATATGTAGCAGAGCTTCATTCTGTATTCATTGTTCCGATCTGTATCTCTTTAACAATTTTACTTACTTATGTGATATTTTACACCTGGCAAGTCTAATATCTGGAATTCCAAGGGAGGTGATCTAAATCTGCAAAACTGCACATTCAGATTGGCTTCTGGGTGTGGTCACGTGGAGCATCTCAAATCCCAGTCTCCCCAAAGAGCGGTCTCAGCCTCGCCTTCCACACAAGCATCTCTATCTCCTATGTGCCTTCAAGACCACTTGCCTCAACTCA